ATATGTATGTATACCAATACATTCTAATCTTGCTGCAAGATTAAATAATAAGGTATTTAAATTGTGTGCTGTAATTGTATTAATACCATAATAAGCAATTGGAAACGCAAAGTTATGAGTTGTTGAGTGCCAAACAATTTGATGAACTTGAGTTGCAAGATTTTGTTCTTGTTTTTTGGTTATAGAATTAGGCAATAGATTATTATTTTCAGATGCTGTATGAATCTCATTTTGACATTGCAAAGCAAATAATTGATAATCTTGCATTTCATCTTCAAAATCTAAATATCCAACATAACAATTCTCACGTTGACTCCAAAGAAGACCTGTTTTAAATATTCCTTAATAAATAAAAAAATATATTTTTTACATGCATTTTAAAATAAATAAATACCTTTCTGAATTTTAAAAGAGTCATGAGAAAAAAATCCTGCTCGTCTGTATCCCCAAATATTATTTGTTGTTAAGCTTTCTAATATTTGAAAAGCAGTTTTGTCTTGCCATCCTGAAAACTGTTCGCCTTCATTAATATAATTTTTAAGAGTAGAAATTGATGGTAAGCGCATTATTGTCTTCATTACATTATAAGCTGCTTTTCCAGATTTACTATATACAGATATTGCCCAACGTAAAAACCTATATTAAAAAAAATTAAATACATTAAATTTTTATTATTAAAACACTAATGATTAAATTCTTACATTAGATGGTATCTTGTTCCATTTGGCTTTTCACTTTGAATGCGAATAAGTTCTTGGAAAATAGGATGAAGACTTGAAATATCTATATTTTTATTTATAACATTTTCAATAACAGTATGGGTAATTTTTGACATATTATCTGATATTTCTCCTCCTTCATTTTCTATTTTCTTTTGTAAACAATCTCTTATATTTGCAAGAGTTACATATTGTGTTTTAATAAGCTTTTTTTGATGCTCAATTTTTTCTATAAGAATCTCTTTAGAAGCATATGCAATTTTCACAGAATTTACGCCAGCCAGGGACCTTCTATAAATTTGTTGCATTGTTTTGTAGAGTTTTTGACAATTTTCACATTTATTATCACATGTATTTTCATCTTTTATTATGAATTTACAATGAATATGTCGGTATGCTTCATCTGGCTGATTTTTGTTTTCTAAAAAGGCAAAGGGAGTATGCTCTTTATCATTGCTAACCAATTGTTCTTCTCGAATTTGAACCACATTTTCAAATCCTAAAATTAAATATTTTAAACAAAAATAAAATATAAACCATACAAATAGTTGACTATAAACTACATACCAACAGTACTTTGACCACAACAAACTTTAAGAGAAAAAACATATTGAATAAGATTGCTTATTTCATCAAGAGTTCTTTTCATTGCTTTAACGGGAAAAGGAAGGTCTACTTCTTTTAATGCTTGATCAAACACCCAAACTTTGTAACTAAGAAAAATACCCTGAGCAAATATTAATATTTTCTTTTCTAATTTTTTTTTGTTATTAAAAAAATGAAGTTCAAGACCTTCACTAATCTCTCGTATAACAGTTCCCATAAATTTTCCTCCTGTTAAACTTTCTCTTTTAATTAAAGAAAGAATATCTTGGATATTCGTGTAAGTAGATACTTTCCAGTATGAATTTGACTTACTACGTAAAATTGATCCAATTGATGGACCGGATGGATTAGGTTCCAAAAAAATGGTTGCAAGGGCTGATCGATAACCTTTATATAGTCCTCTATTTTTCAATCCAACCATCCATTGGGAAAATGTCTCATATTTGTAATCATTTATAACACTATATACATATGCTTTCTTTTCTTTTGCATCATAAAAAAGTACACCTTCAAAATATTTATTTAATCTTGGAAAAAAATATACTTTTTTTCCCTTAAGATCAGGTCGAATATGCAAAAGTTCTTGCAATAACTCCACTTTTTTTTGTTGTTTTGTAAATTTACTATTGATATTCTCAAAAGACTGTTTCCTTTTACTCTAATTATGCAAAATTATTATTATTTTAAAACATATTTATAATAATATTTTTCTTTTTATTGCTCACCATTTTCAACTTGTCTTAAAGTTCGTTAAATTTTAGTAGCTGATTAAGTTTTTCTCAAAAATCTAGAAGCGCGACAGAGATAAAATTCATTCTATATATAGATGAGCATCGTGTCTTTATGGTATGATCTGTTTGTCTCACGATCACTTTATTTTTATTTAAATCTAACATCAAAATTTTACGTTTAAAACGATTATCATATAGTAATATTAATAAATTATATATAACTTCAGTTCTGGTAATTTTGATCAGCTCTGTGTAACCTTAAGTTGTACCCCGTTTATTTACCTATCCCCTAGATATTAGTACGAAAAAATCAAAATTTATTTTTAAAGGTCCGTCTGAGTACGGAAAAATTAAAATTTTTTTTTTGAACGTCCGTACTAATTTGTATTACCGTACAGTACTAATTTACTATATACTCGATAGAAGTAGTAGGATATTCAGTACAAGATGATTGGTCAATCTGTACAGGTGGTATGTACTGTACGTACAGTGTGGGACAAAAAAATGAGAATTTTATTTTTGATCATTAACATTAAATTATAATTGTATTTTAAAGCTTAAGATCAGCTGATTTTATTAAAAAAAATTTAATATTATATACATTCGCCATTATTTCAATAATTAACTTACAACCTTGTCTAGTTAACTTTAAAATATCGATTAGAACGATTTTTAGAGTATTTTGGCATTTCTCCATCATAAATTCTTCCAAATAATTAAGATTTTTTTGGTATTCGCTTCTCCGCCTTATTTTTTGTGATATCCAATAAATTTCAATAGGATTTGGGTCGAGGCTCTCATGACCACCCTGAAACTTCTGATGAATTTTCTTTTAGACTGAGCTTAAAAAAATGACTATTATGCATAGTAGTTTTCTTGTTGGAAAATACCAACGAACGACCACAAAGCATCCAGAAGATCTCAGAAGCACATGTACAAAAAATTTCTGCATAAATCTCGATGTTCATAATTTGTCTGAAACAAAATAAACTTGCTTTTCCTTCACAAACAACTGCCCCACGCCATAATTTCTTATATAATCTTCAGACATACAACAAACAATCTTTCCTCTTTATACTAATATTTAACAGTGTTACTAAAGAGTTGCAAGACTGATTTATCAGCAGATAAAATTTTTTCCATTGGTCATAATATTATTTTGTACCCACTCTACACGTCTTTGCTTGTGTGCTTCGATTAACATAGGAGTTGCTTTGGGAAGTTTTTTTTACATAACCAACACTTGAAAGATGACTTCTAATTGTTCTATATTATACTTTTCACCTGTATTTTTCGATTTTCTTGCTAAAGTTCTTGTAAAAAAAGATGTATCATGCCTTACATATTGACTGAGTGNCATAACCAACACTTGAAAGATGACTTCTAATTGTTCTATATTATACTTTTCACTTGTATTTTTCAAATTTCTTGCTAAAGTTCTTGTAGAAAAGGATGTATCATGCCTTACATATTGACTGAGTGTATGAAATGCACTTGCGGTAATATTTTTTTAGGCCTTCCATTCCCTCTAGGATGCTCTAAAAACTAGTTTTTTTCAATTTTTTTTGTTTTTATAAATTGTTGACAATAAAAATTACATAGGTTGTGTTATTCTTTAATATTATATATACCATTATTTCATAAGTCTAATAAGAATTTATTATAGGTTTTTCCTTTTGCGCAAGTTATTGTTTTGGAATTTCTTGTTGATGGAGTCAAACGTAGTCACAGATGTAAGATTTTTTATGTTATTTTATTTTATTTTATTTTAATTTAGAGAGGAGTAACCAATGAAATACATAATAGTAGAAACAACTATAATAAGCGGAAAACTAAACTATTATGGATGCTAAGGTTATATATCCCTACCAGTAAGACCTCACCCTCTGGGCAGAACTACTCTAACAGTAAAACTACGCTACTGATAAAGAAAAAATAAGAAAAACAATCAACCCTAAAAAAAAGAAATGATCCGTATTATTCTTTCACCCATATCAGGTATCAAACCTAAAGAGATGCCACCTGTAAATACTGTCATAGGTGGAGTGATTCACACTATTCTTATTGTTGTACGTGGATTTTATATTCGTATGAGGGGTTACCCGTTAAAAAGATGTAATTAATTACATGTCAGTGGTATATGTGGCATAGAACGTTGTAAATAAAATACTATCAGCGGCCACAGGTTTTAATTGTAAAACTGATAGCGTGTATGTCATTATAATTAGTATGAGGTAGAAGGCATACCGCCTTCATTACTATTTGTAAATAGGTCGGGTATGGTGATAATTTTGATGCGTTTAATAGAATCTCGTCTATTGTCATGATTCAAATGGGAGTCGATGTGATGGTGAGTTGAACGTTTGTGGGGTCGTTGTTCGAGTTCTTTAGCGTCATCTGACATTTCGCCTTCATAGCATTTGTATAATTGAACAGGATCTAGTGTTGAATTATAATCGATATTAAACTGAGCTAGTTCCAGCTCAAGTTGGTATAATTGTTTGGTCGTTTTACCTTTCTTGATTCCTTGTTGAGTTTATCATTTAAAGTGTCATGACGGTTGATCAATTTATTAATCGACTTATGGTAATAATGTTGAAATCTCGTAAGACATTTTACTTTGTCTTCCCTAAATTGATATCTGTATTCGGATGTATTCCATAATTTTGCTTTTTCCTTATATTGTTGTTGAATTTCATTGATGTTGTTTTTTCCAAAACATACGCTCAGTGATTTTTCACGGCTTCTAGCCATAGTCTACTACCAGGAGTTAACGGGTCTTTGCCCCTTCTACGGCAATTTTTTGTTTTATAAATAGGATCTGTAGGTACATAAGGAAATAATTCATCCTCTATAAGGATACCCAACTTCAGGTGCCAAGTCTTTCCCTCTTCAGAAGGAATTGGAATGTCATTAGTAGGTGGAGCTATCATATCTATAGCTTCTGTTGTAGGAATCGTATTATCAATCGTTAAAAGTGTTATAGCAGCGTGAGGAATTTGAAATCCATAGTCCTTTGACATATGGAGTGGTGATCTTACTTTTATGATATTTAAGGTGTTGAATCAGTTTATTGATATATTGTGAAGGTAAAAATAAAAATCTATGCTGGCGAGCATGATGTAATTTGTCAGTAATATTATTCGCAGGAGGTGGTTTGTTAGGACCTTGATGTCGATTATTAAAAATGGACTTGCAAGCCCGCTCAAATCTACGTTTTTGTTTTCTACTACGATTGTTCTTTTGAAGTTGATGTTGAGCTTGAAAATTATCAAGTCGTTTACAGTACATACTACAATTTTTGTATTTGAAATAATATTCAGGTGCATTGTTGCAATATGAAACGTTATATGAAATTCCAAGACGGTTCAAGAACACATGTTTTTTGTGTCGATTTTGCCATTGATTGAATAAGTGGTTAGCGTGAAATTGTTTGGTATTGTTACCGTTGGTATGAGTATTTGGTTGTATTTTAATATTGTGAAATAAGTTTATAAATTTTTGATGTTCGATACAGCCACGTCTATTTAAAGACATTATATATGGGGCTGGGACATTACAAATATCATTGTAATTGGGTTAAAATCATGTGTGTTATAATGATGGCAAGGAGTAAAGATGCCGAAATGAAAGCGGTATTTTTTGTATGAAAAATTAAAGAAAGTTTTAGTACATGTGTTTCTATATGATGTTTGATTGGCACATGATTTAATAATCCAATATCGGTCTAAAAGTTTGGAACAAATTAAATTGAAATATTTTTTTGGATTGAGCGTGGTATAACTCTTTGATGAGAAAAAAAATGATGTAACATCTTACTAATCTGGTATTTCAGATTAGGGAAGCTACATGTGGAATTGTAGCTAATAGGGATTTTTTTCATATGGTAATCATTTGTGTGTATTTTAAGATGAATATCATTGGTGTTTGTTTTATGATTGACTAACTCAAAAAAGAAACTTTTTGATCTCCTGATTTTGTAAATCTTGTTACATCCAGCTCGATTAGGTCGAGTCACGTGGAATTTGTGAAATGAAACATCAAAGTGGAATTTTCCCAAGGGAAGAGACTTTTCAGTACTCAAAGTCATATTATTCAGTAAGTCAAGTAAATAATATGATAAGTGTGTATAAAACTACTTTCAAAGGATGGTTGTGAAGTGAGAAGAACCTTTCCATAAGAGGCCACCCCGTGGTCCTCTATCTTCTCTAGCGTTAAAAACGTTAAAAAGGTTTTGTGAGAAAAAACAGTATTTTACTGCGGTTTTGTATGTAAAATTATGGAAAGGGGAAAGAGTTTTTTTGTAAGATTTTTTATGTATTTAAGTGTACAAATTTAGATGTAGATCATTTTACTCACGTGATCACTTTTCTTTTGTCCCACACTGCCCACACTGTATGTCGTATTTTTTCTACATCATGCATAACTGATAAGACGAGAGAGTAAAAAAAATTGCTTTTAAGCAGTAACTGTAGATGATTAGAAATAAATTACTATTGTTTGCGCTGTAAATTTAAACCGGTTTGCATCTCTCTTAACACAACAGCTAGTCTCCATGTACCACAAAAGAAAGGTTTCCTTGGAGAATGCGATTAAACAAAAAGCTTAACTGCCCAGAGGCCACATCTTTTAATCTACGAACATTTATGCTGATATAATCTCAAGCGGAGAATATTGTTCCATAGCTAACGAGAATGAATTGTGTTCGTTCCTTTTGAACATTCGAAAAGAACAGTCCCACTAGATATTGTCTCTTTCAAAAGCGTAGATTTACAATTGAACTTGTTTTCTAAATTGTGGAACAATTACAATCAATTATCTCATTAAAAATTATAGTCAATGTAACTATCTTGGGAACGTAATTAAATTTATGAAGATCAACGGGAAATAATACAACTGTTGTTAAGAGTATCCGAATATTTACAAAAGGAAGATACTGGGCAAATAAATGACTCTGGATTTGTACTTTATCCTATTACGTATTTTTCTTCGTTTATATTTCTTAAGATGACTAGGGATTAAGGTAAACGACAATAAGAATCAAGCCATTTATTTAGTCTTTGATCCTCTCGATTTTGGATGAACATGTCTCACAAATATACGTCATAATATTTCTTTTTTATCTTATTCTAATAAATATATAATAGATTTCGGACATAATTGATCGCATGGTAATTACTTCTATTAACTACTGTTTTGAACTTCATAAAGTTGCAAATGAAGATTGTCCAAGTTGTTTGAAATAGAGATACGTGATCCAAATTTCTGTACAGAAAGTAGGAATTTGTATTTCACACAATCACGTTTGCCATCAATTTTTATTTAACGTAATAATTCTTTATCAAGTCATCTTTAGATGAACTTATAATATTGAATGACAATCAACACTTTGTCTGAAGAAAGATATCTGTTTTTCGATTCAAGATGGAAATAATACTGTAGCAAATGTGAGAAGTCTGTTCAGTGAAACTAGGCAAAGCCCGCATTGTTTACGTGAATAATTCGCAAGGTTTATAGAGTGTTTACAATGCCTGGAGGGAACTGCGCTTCACGCAGTGTAGCAACTATTTTCCATGAACGTTCATATTACCGGGCTTTCCTTAATACAGATGATAGTAGCTGGATTTATTTGGCCATCAAGATTGGTTCAACGTGGGATTTCAGTTTCGAATATGATAAAAATCATATGCGACAGATATGAATATATTGAGTTATACATACCAAGTAGGCACTCGACTAAGCAATACATAACTATACAATATCTACAAAGAATAATTACTAGAATGATTAATGCGAAATCCAAGTATTCTCTTATTACCATTTTTGCCCGTGGGTTCTTTACTAAGGACTTCATTTCGATTACCATATAAAGATACTCCAGATTCCCACGTATCCATAGGGCTTTGACTTTATACGGAGAGACTTTGAGTTGTTTCGAATAAATGGAATGTTCGATGGCGGACCATAATTCGAAGTTCTGTATGACTTCGCCGACTCGCTAGCCAGTACAGCTTAACAATCCCATTTTTATGGAAAGATCTATTTTCATGGGAAGATCCATTTTCAATTCCTACTCAACATTATCATGCTCGAAGGAATATCCAGATACATAGCGATTATTCTTCACTACATCAGTTGATAATTATGCTGGTCAGTCTAATGATAGTGTAATGCAAACGGCACAGAAACTTTCGAGTACTTTAATAAACCGCAACCGCAATGGAATCATTCTCATTTTCGTCGGATCTTACTTCATATGAATGAATGTCAAGAATCTTTATAGTGGAAATTCGTCTATCACTTAAACACTATGGATATAGTGTTAGACCTTCCTATAACTAGTCTCGACTCAAGTTACTATTACACGGTATGTTATACGATAATACTTTTTTACATAGGTTGTCATCAATCGTATGTTTTAACTCAATATTTCCTTTGACGTTATCCTCTTAGTATCCTATAAAGAATATCATCCCTTGGCTTCAGGTATTATCAGACATTTTTCTACGGCGATACAAATGCATCTTTTTGTCTTTACCATGAGCGTTTTACCGCTCAACCACGCTTTTTATTCATTAACTTATTATACCTGAATAACCGTTTTCTGTAGATAATTATAACGAAATACCTGGATGCCTATACGAAGAGATTCTTCTATTATCTCTCGAAGTTTCTAATCTCTCCAGTTCTAGATAGAATCTAGTGGATACGAAACAGATATATATCGCTATTATCCAACACAAAAACAATATAACATATCGGCATATGACAAAAAGGAGTTATCTACGAAACTAGTAGTTAAGGATCACAATGCGGATGTGTATAGAGTTTTTCATTCACATGAATAGTTTTCAGATTTAACGATAGCATAACAGAACACTTAAGATCCTTTTCCGAAGTAGTATATGGAGATTCATGGAGCGAAGGGATTTACCCAATTTCCTAGAATACATGTGTTCTATCGTCGAAGAAAAACAGTGGACATATAGTCCTCAATTATAGGAGATGAAGTATTATTTCAATAATCGAAAAGAGATGTTTGATTGCAGAAGATGACAGAGAACATTACATGTTCGATAGTAGAAGAAACAGTAGACAAAAAATAATTTAATTTAGTCGATGAAGTATCACGGATTAAAAAACATGATGTTAAAAAGGAATTGTTAATAATAAGAAATCGAATACAGAAAAATTTAAGAATAGCAGACAGGTTCCGATATCGGAAGTATTAGTATAATTTACAGGGTATATAACGAATAAATATAGAAGAGTATAATAGTAATATATGATTCGTTTTATGTAATGTTTCTTCGAAACTTTGATGTACAGTATTCTATTTTATTTTCTAATAATAAATCATAACTTGCATGTTCGATGTTTTCATGTTCGTCTGTTAAGAATTTAATGCTATGCATTGGCGTTTACATATTTTCGAATCATAATATGGTTAAAGGATTATTTTATTTATTTATTTTATTTCTAGAGAGGAGTAACCAATGACAAATTGATGATCCCAAATATTCAAGATATTGGGATATATAGGGTTATGAATAATAGTATTATATATGGAGCGGGTAGTAGGAGCGATGATTTATAAAGGGAACGAATTATTCTATTAAAATCGTTGCATATATGAGGGAGTATAATAGAATGTTGACATAAATATTCAATTCTGGGAATAAGAACTTTGTTGATTATATAAATAACATGGTCGTGTGTTATTTTTTTCCTTTTTAAATTGGAACATATATATTTTAACATTCTTTTGATTTTGTTAATTGTGAATTGAAATTTGTTGTTAGTGTTGATATAAATCCCTAATATTCTTTCATTATTTGAAGGGGAGATAACTTTTATATCAACTAGATCTTCGCCAAATTGTAAAGGAATGTATTCTTTTTTGTTGATGAATTTGTCGTTAGTAAGGATTTTTGTTTTATCCTTATTAATTTTTATATTTGCTTTATAAAGCATAGAAATCATCTGCAATTGCTAGATTATTTTGTAGATCATCAAAATTTTGCGCAAACCATGTTGTATCATCTAGATATCCTAGTAATTTGATATTAATAGATATTTCATGTAAATCATCTCGGCGGAAAATATTTTTTGGTATAGCAGCATATAAATTGTAGCCTGGAAATGAAGATTTGTTGATGGCTGCAAACATAGGGTCGTAATATATGACCCATAGTAAAGGCGATATAACCTCTTCTTGTATAATTCCATTATCGTTAGTATACTGTGAACTATTTAATACTATTTTGATGACGAGTAAATAAGTTATCAATGAAGGTGATTAATATATTAGGTATATTAATACGTTTGAGAGAGAGTTGTAGTAATTTAAGATCAACTCGATCGTATGCCTTACTGAGATCTTGGAGTGCTAAGTAGAATGGATTTTTCGTATCGTATTGATGGTCTATAATAGCTTGAATTTGTAAAATAATTTCATTACAAGAAGCGCCTTGTATGCCTGCTTGGTTATTGTGTTGTAGAATTTGATTAGTGGATAAGTAATGATTCAATCTACTGTTAATAATTTTAACCATTAATTTTCTTATACAATCTAATAGGATTATAGGTCTAGTAAGATTAATGTCGTAATTCCACCATTGGGGTTTCGGTATTGGGTATA